GGGAAGACGCAGTTGAGTAAGGGAGCCTTGGTTTTCAAGAGAGGTAAAACGACTGGTTAAGAGGAAGAAGGACGTGTATATAAGGTTTATGAAACAAGGAACGGAAAAGGCTCTTGAGGGATGCAAGTTATCCAGGAAGGAGCTGAAGAAAGGGCTTAGGAGAGCTATAAGGGGGCATGAGAAAACCTTGGCAGATAGGATCAAGGAAAACTTCAAGGCTTTTTACACGTACGTAAGGAATAAAAGAATGACCAGAGAAAGGGTAGGGCCGATCAAGGATTGTAAAGGGAACTTGTGCACAGAGCCTAAGGAGATAGGAGAGGTCCTTAATGAATACTTTTCTTCGGTATTCACAACTGAGAGGGACCTAGTTGTAGAGGAGGACAGCGTGAAACAGGCTGGTAGGCTAGAGGAGGTCGATGTTAGTAAGGAAGATGTGCTAGGAATTTTGAGGAAGTTGATGACAGCTAAGTCCCCTGGGCCTGATGGGATTTATCCAAGGATTCTATGGGAAGCGAGGGAAGAGATCGCAGGGCCTTTGGCGATGATCTTTTTGTCCTCACTGTCCACGGGTCTGGTGCCGGAGATTAGAGAGAGGCAAACGTCATTCCCTTGTTCAAAAAAGGGAATAAGGATAACCCCAGAAATTACAGGCCAGTTAGTCTTACGTCAGTGGTGGGCAAATTATTGGAAAGGGCTCTAAGAGATAGGATTTATGATCACTTGGAAAGGCACAGTTTGATTCGTGATAGTCAGCATGGATTTGCGGGGTAGATCATGCCTCACAAACCTTATTGAATTCTTTGAAGAGGTGACCAAACATGTGGATGAAGGTAGAGCAGTGGATGTGGTATACATGGATTTAAGTAAGGCATTTGCTAAGGTTGCCCATGGTGGGCTCATGCAGAAGGTAAGGAGGCATGGGATAGGGGGAATGTGGCAGATTGGATTCAGAATTGGCTGACCCTTAGAAGACAAAGGGTGGTAGTGGATGGAAAATATTCAACATGGTGTTCAGTTATGAGTGGTGTACCACGAGGATCTGTTCTGGGTCATCCTCTACTTGTGATTTTTGTTAATGATTTGGATGAAGGAGTGGAAGGGTGGATTAGTAAGTTCACAGACGATACGAAGGTGGGTCGAGTTGTGGATAGTGCGGAGGGCTGTTCTAGGTTACAAAGGGACATTGAGAGGATGCAGAGCTGGGCTGAGAAGTGGCAGATGGAGTTTAACCCTGAAAAGTGTGAGGTGATTCATTTTGGAAGGAAAAACTTGAAAGCAGAATACAGGGTTAATGGAAAGATTCTTGGCAGTGTGGAGGAGCAGAGGGATCTCGGGGTTCATGTCCACAGATCCCTGAAAGCAGCCACCCAGGTGGACAGAGTTGTTAAGAAGGCGTACGGTGTGTTAGCTTTCATTAATAGAGGGATTGAGTTCAAGAGCCATGAAGTTATGCTCCAGCTATACAAAAGCCTGGTTCGGCCACATCTGGAGTATTGTGTCCAGTTCTGGTCACCTCATTACAGGAAAGATGTGGAAGTGTTGGAAAAGGTGCACAGGAGATTTACCGGGTTGTTGCCTGGAATGGAGGGAAGGTCTTACGAGGAAAGGTTGAGAGAGCTAGGGCTTTTCTCTTTAGAACGACGAAGGATGAGAGGTGACTTGATAGAGGTGTACAAAATGATCAAAGGTATAGATAGAGTAGACAGCCAGAGACTTTTTCCTAGGGTGGAGGTAGCTATTACGAGGGGGCATAGTTTTAAAGTGAGTGGAGGTAGATACAGGGGAGACGTCAGAGGTAGGTTCTTTACTCAGAGTGGTCGGGGCGTGGAATGCATTGCCGGCGAGGGTAGTGGAGTCGGCCTCATTAGGGGCATTTAAGCAGCTAATAGATAGGCATATGGATGATAATATAAGGTAGGGGTAGAAGTTAGATAGGCCTTAGGATTAGGGTAAAAGTTCAGCACAACATCGTGGGCTGAAGGGCCTGTACTATGCTGTACTGTTCTATGTTCTATGTTCTAATTAAATCATACTACACAAGAGAAGTTTTTTTAAGACTGGTAATGAAGTTGTATTCATGTAAAACTACAGATCCTTGGGTTCTTATTTGAGTTAAAAGAGTTAAAACTACGGGCAATTTAGCATGGTCAATCCACCAAACCTGCACATCTTTGGACTCTGGGAGAAAACCAGAGCACCCAGAGGAAACCCACGCAGACAAGGGGAGAATGTGCAAACTCCACACAGACAGTTGACCGAGGCTGGAATCGAACCCGGGTCCCTAATGCTGTGAGGCTGCAGTGCTAACCACTGAGCCACCATGCCGCCCTACTTGCTGACAAAAATCAATGGAGAGGCAAATCGTGCTCACTACATTTAAGCGAAAATGCTACAGCAACTTCAGACAAAGAAACATTCATTGTTAGATATGGAATTCCAAAAGTTTCTGTCAGAAATGCACTGTTTTGCAGATAATTTTTATCAAAACAACGTTGAATGGTATGACCTTTTCATACTTGTGCACTAGAGATAAATTAAAATTCCTACTTCTCAAACTTCTCGATTCCAGTGCCAAGTTCCATTTTTTAAAACAAAACATGGTAAGCATTAATTATTGCAAAACAACATTGATGTTACTGAAAGATAGCTATCTTTAATATGGAGTCTCATTCCTTCAGACTTTAATTGTTAAATGATTTTATAGTTGTATTTTTAAAATTCATTTTCTTTTTTCCCTTTTCCTTTACTTCAATGTTTCCAGCATTGTTACTCTTTCCGTATTTTGTATGGAATTGATTTCACTTCCTTTGTAGTCTCTACTTGGTTAATTTTACAATCCTTCGATCTGATTGGTTAAAGAGATAAATAGCTGCTTGCTCTGTTTAGTCAGGTACCCAAATTCCCAGTTTCTCCCTTACTGTGTCACTATTTGCTTGTGCTTTCAATAACTATAGCACAAAATTCATCACAATTAAATGGGGAAATGTAAAGTCTAACCACTTGGTACCCTGCAACTGTCAATTATGACCCAAGGTTTCCATTATTCAAAGCAACTGATACACAGCAATAGTCACACGACTGACCACATGACTAGTTAAGCATCAGAAATGTGAAACTGACTTCAGTACACCTTGGCATTTTTATTTCATTTCTGCTAGCAACAAGTGGAACATAAGGAACATCAAGGTAGCAATTAATTGAAAAGCATCGAACAAAGACCTGGAGTTCTCCCATGACTTCTGTCTTGAAAACAGTTTATTCTGGGTTGAATCAAATCAAAACGAGCTCAGTAGATCAAGAAACTTTAAGTATTAGTGATCTAAGTCTATTACTACTTGGATTTGAATAATCACTGTCTTTAATCCCTTTACCTAAACCAGTCCTTGCCTATCAATCTGGTCAAGCTCCCAGGTTGGAGTGGTGAGGTTCTCCTAGTTTTGCTTACTGGAGGTTCATCATCCCCTGTAAGCTGTAAACTGACAGGATTTTTTTAAAAAAGGTTGGCAAAGCACATAAAAGTTAAAACTTTATCTGGTTTTAGTTCATTATCCTCTTCTCTAAAGTAAGCATACATGCAATGTGTGCACAATCAAAGAATGGAAACACACAGCATATTGAACTGTATGTACATATGGTATGAAAATGCATGATGAACTGCAGCTTTACTGAAATTTTAGCAGGTATTTAACAACTCCATTGCATCACAGACTGTACAACTGTTATTGCAACATCATGTTAAAGAAATAGCTAGTTCCCAAAAATCTTACTCTGGCCCCAGTGATGTATGACACAGATCAAGTTATACCGGTCTTCTGAAATTTGATGAAGCTGTAGACCAGCCTCTAACATTTGTCTAAAATACATAAATTGCTCCTCTAGGGTTCAATTAAAACCAGATGTGGCTTAGAGAGTAGTAAGTCAGCCTAGCTTAGTGAGCAGTTCTAACTTGTAAGTAAAAAAAAAAAAAATCTTTCAAAGAAGATGACGTTACTTATTACATGAAGCCTAATAGTAACATAGGAGAAGAGCTGACTCTAACAACATTTAACCTGTGGTCTGCATTCTGCCACTACATCATTAGGCTCTTTCCTCATTGCCCCATTCCTCTTCACCCATACACAGTCTCTCTATTCCAAGATTCTCTCTTGGTTTCCAAGCCTTGAAGTCTTTCTTCACTCGCACCTATGTTTGCAATTCACACTTTTTCCCTGGGTCTCAACCTGCAGTTCATCATTTTCTTCCTCCATTCACATTTCTTGTCTCTCCATCCCAGGACACAATCTTCTCACTGCACCATGCAACAGATCAATACAAATAGATAATTTCCTACCCAGTGAAGCATGCTGTTGCAGGGTCTCTCCATAATTTATTCAATATGCACTCTCTCGCCTATTGATGCAGCATGGGCAGCCAGTATCTCAAAACATTTCCCCTTCTTTCAGGAGTGTTCTGGGCATTGATCCTCAGAAGGTGGTATGCTGGGTAAAGACAACTGACTTTGTCAAGATGAACTCTGTCCTAACATTGCTAGCATGGTTTTTTGCAATAACGAACACTTGATGAGAACTTTGCTGTACTAGCTAATAAATTTTAATCCCAAACAAAATCTTGCCTGCTCAGCATTTCTGCCGTAACATGCAATAAACAGTATTGCAAGTTTCACCTGGTGTGAGTGTTCAAAGAACACAGCTGTCAAGGTGATCTGGTCTTCAACTTCTGTCATTACAAATGTCAAATAAAGCTCTTTTTTTAAATTCTAATCTCGGAACAGATTACAAAAATGTTTTTTTTTCTGATTGAAAGTAGTCCTTAAGCAGTGTGAACGTTGAGAAAAATCAAAAACTTACCAGCCAAAAAAAAACACTTAGAGCATTAATGTCAATTGGAACCTTTTGCTTTTTATTCTGAATTATGCAATTTACTAAACAGGTTGGAAAAATGATGGCTCTCCACATGTGGAAGCAGTAGAGCAAGAACAAAATAACTAAAGCAATTACCTCAGCAGCCTGTGTCTCTTGATGGAGAAGAGTCAGTCCTGTAAGATCTTCCAGGAAAGAATGAGATGAGTTGAATACATTAGCAAGGAACTGGAAACCTTCTTTTTCAAAGTGATCAAGGACCTACAAAGAGATAGAGTACACTAAACTTAGTAGAATAAATAGGACAATTCATAAATGTTGCAAAATAAATATTGAAAATGCTTGTAGAGGAGAACTAGAAAAACCATGGCAACGGAAGAGAGCGTCCTGCTCCAAAACTCAACAACCCAGCTCCTCTGGCCATCTGCTTCTTTGTTTCCCTGCAGAGTATCATCTAACAATCTTCTGTAACATGAAGCACAATGCTCCCTCAAAAACATACAGCATCATCAATGTAAAACATTAAATGCCCAAGATTTGAATATTTAATACATGAAGTTACTGTTGTATTGTCTGGGTGATTACCTCAGTGGACAAAAATACTTTGAAATCATTGGTTTTTCTCCGATATCAAAGGTAGTAGTTTCTTGTGTATGCAGATCAAATCGACAGTGTATTCTAACATGGCTGTAGACCTGATTAGATTTAGATTTTATTGTCAGTTGCACTCAAAGTAAAGAAGTACAGGAGTACGTTGAAAAGTGTATAATGTTGCCACATGGTGCCATCTTAGGTACAAAGGTACCTTGGTACAAAACATAGGTACAAAGTAGTAAGAGAAGCAGAGATAAAAAGATAAGCATTACCTTCATAGAATAAGTAAAAGAATAAAGAAATAGGGTAATAGTTATTATTAAAGTACTTAATTTAAACCAGAAAAACAACGGAATCAACTTAAAAGTTCATCAGTCTTTGATGAGTCCTCCATTTATCTCACTTTCCGGGAGACCTCATCTGCCTGTTCACAATGCCACTGCTGCAGAGACTGGGGGACCTCTCTCATTGCTCGCTCTTCTCCTATTTGGCTGCCATGCCATCAGCTGAAGCTGCCATCTCTCCAACCTCATCCTAGTGTCTCTGGAACATGTCCAGGCAGGACCCACTCACACACTGAGAGACCGGGCCGAGACACTGCCACGAGCTGCCAAGAGACCAACATGGGTGCCTTGTCTGGTTTGCGCTAATGCCGCAAGAAACACCAAGAGAGAAAGAAGGAAAAAAAAAAGAGCGAGGAAGAAATAGATGGAATGGACGAGTTCTGTCCAAAGTGTCCTACTCCATCACCATCTTGATGACGGGTCTTGGTTATGTAGCTTTCCATAGTGTGGCAAGGACAAATTGTTCAAATTTGTTGAAACTGCCTGGTTCTTCTAGCTTGCCTTTTGTCTTTAGCTGCCTGTATCCTTTGCTGTTCAAAGGAAACACCACTACTTGAGATCACCTCCCTAGATAGTTCTTCTTGTTGATCTGTGGTGGATTTGTCACATTTTTTGAAGTTTGCCTTCCAGAGATCTTTGAACTTAATATCAGCCTATACCAAACTTAAGTTATGAATGAATAACCACCTTAGGGGACTTTATCATCAGTTGTATGAACTGTACAAATATTCCATCCGAGTTGCACTCTGGTGATGAATGCTTCAATTCCAGATATTTCTATTCTTTGAGACTTTTTTCTTCTATTTGATGCCCATGATGATCTGAAAATATGTGATGTCAAATTTGCCCAAATGCTTAATATGTCTGGAGTAGGTCATCCGTCTGACAGGCACACTCGACATGAAGTATCATCACAACTTTGTTTGCAACAAATTTATTATTTGAATCTTGCTTCCTCCACAGTCTTCTGCATAAATGGGAGAATGCTGAGCTTGCTCCGGTAATTCTATTTGCTACATTATTGTCGATGCAGATGTTCCCACAAATTGTGCTTCCAAGATAAGTGAAGTTATCCATAGCCTTCAGGATTGTGTTATTAATAACTATAATACGTGTGGTATCATCAGATTTTGGTCTTGGTTAGTGGAGGATCTCTGTCTTTCTTAACCTTATGGTTAGTCTTTTGAAAACCAGTCAATGATCCTTTGAAGACCATTCTCAGAGTTAGACATCAGGGTACAGTCATCAGAAAACAGCAGTTCCCTGCAAGTTCTGAATGAGGCAGCAAGGTATCTTTGATACTTTGGTTGAGGATTTTAGTTGTCTCAGGCAGAAAAGACTGACATCTGTTCTGAATTGGTTCTATATCCCAATCACATTTATGATGAATGAGCTACGCATAAGTCGCAGTCCTTGCAGTGATTCATTAGGTAACAAATGGTATCCACTACAGGGCCAGATTTGTAATACATCAGGATAATTACATACAAAAGTATAAAGACTTATCTTTTTATAAGATTTAATTTCAGCTGACAATAGTGAATATGCAAGAGAGTAGTGTAGTGAGGGAAGATATATAGCGAGGAAAAGGTATAATCTGCAAATGAAACAATTTTTTTTTTAATTCCTTTAGATGTCCAAATGTCTATTTTATGTTCCATGATTCAAAATCAAAATGAAATAACTATTCAGGATTAACTATAAACATTTCACTGGTCAAATGATTCACTGATACTAATTTTTTCACACTTTCAAATCTTTGTCTTGACAAAAATCAAGTTCTCCCTTTATTGTGAAAGAACATACAATTTTTTGAAGGTTTAATTAATAGTATATTGATTAGCAGTTCATCAAACAAGCTGAAGACAAGTTGCCAGTTCTGGATTCAAATCTTCAGCAAATCTCAAGAAAGTGTCTACTTATATTTGACATGTTACATATTTGTATAGTCCAGTTTCTTCCCAGGGCCAAAAGCTTGGGCATTGGTCAGTCAATTGGGAAAATATGGCGAGATTGGAAAAATGAAAAAAGAAAATCCAATGTTTCCACCCAAGGTTTTAACAGCAAGAATTATACAAGGGATTGTCTTTTAAGAGCAGATTACCTTTTCAAATGGATTAATAGCAAGATGATGTGAGCATAACATTTTGTTTTATTAAGAAACCACCATAAAATAACCATAAATGTAGCAATACAAATTAGTTTGGGAAATAAAATGTAAATCAGTAAGCAGCAATCAAATGATCTGAAATGTTTTATATCTTGAGGAATTTAGGTAGAGAAAAAGGCTGAGTCAGGTAAAGAGCTCCATCATTTTAAGGTTCTGTGAAGGAATGAATCGTGGAAGGAGTTTATACAATGGGCAGAATCTTCCCAGCGCTTGCAGTGGCTTGAGCAATTGAGAGTCAGTAGAGGAAATATGGTGACATTGGAAAATGAGATTCTAGATGTCAAGAAAAAATGTCCAATTTTTCCATTCAAACTTTTAACAGCAGGAAGAAAATCTTGCTAGAGTGGAGAGTAGCCTATGTGCACACATTTACTTCTCGTTATTCCATATATTCACTCCTTTTTCTGCAATTTGCTATTCTCCCAGGCAGCGGAGAGATACTAGATGGTGACAATTCCTGGCACACACGCATGTTGGCTTTAGCTTGCTACTTGCTCCTCTGGGCTTCCACCTTGGCCACTGTTCCCCAGTATCTCGAGGACACGCTTCATGGGCAGTGGCCACCTGCATCCAATGTCCATAGAGGAACTGGACATACGCTAACGTCACATCATCATACTGGCACATTTCGAACTGACTTGGAACTCAGCTCATCATTTCAATGCTATACTTTCAAGTTAACTGATTCTTTTGGTTGCAATGCTACTCTACTGCCAGGCTGCTTTGGTGTGTAGGGGCAGCCACTCATCTCACGCATTGCAGCAGACTGCATCTCAGGGCTTGTCACTTGCATTCTTAGCAATCACTTGCTTTGCACCTACTTGGATGCTTCAAGGATCTCCATCTCGCCTTTTAGTAGTTTGCTGCCTCATTCAGAACTTGCAGCCTCACGATACTTCTGTGCTGCCGTGTCTTGTCTTTGTCAGCAGGGATCAGTCAAGGGGATGGAAATGCTGCTGATCAGCACCAAGCCACTTCCATAATACACTGCATTTACATCAACCAGTGGCCATGTCTCAAAGTCTAAGAGGTGTAAGACCTCCGTCAAGTCATGTCATCCATCAGGGGCTATTGGCACCGTAAGTCAAGGCATCAGTTAATATCTGTGCATGGGCTTGGACATAGTCCATTGGTCGCTTGGGCAGGGTCAGGGAGTTGTGTCTTTACCAGTACAACCATTCTGGGGAATAATGGTAAGCCAAAGGTCTGGAAGCCATCCTCCCAAGACAGTCAGGGAAGTAGGCCACAGTTCACAAAGGCAATCCAGGTCTCAGACTACAGAAGGGCATGGAGCTGATTTACTCTTACCTCGACCTTTGATTGGGGGTGGGGAATGTTGGTGAAGGCTTCAGTAATCTGACTGCACTTACAATTTCCCACTACATTAAATAACGTGGTGTCTACTGCATATACAGTCATATAGCATGGAAACAGACCCTTCCCATCCACGTCAACCAGACATTCTACTCTGACCTAGTCATATTTTCCAGAATTTGACCCATATCCCTCTAAACCCTTCCTACTCATATACCCATCCAGATGCCTTTTAAAGGTTGTAATTATACCAGCCTCCAACACTTCATCTGGTAGTTCGTTCCATACATGCACCGTCCTCTGTGTGAAAAAGTTTCCCCTCAGGTCCTTTTTACATCTTTCCCCTCTCACCTTAAATCAATGTCCTCTAGTTTTGGACTAGGAAAAAGACCTTGGCTATTCACCCTATCCACGGCCCTCATGATTTTATCAACTTCTATAAGGCTACTCTACAGCCTCCAATACTCCAAGGTGAAAAGCCTCAGCTTATTCAGTCTCTCCCTATCGCTCAAACCGTCCAGTCCCAGTAACATCCTTGTAAACCTTTCTGCACACTCTCAAGTTTAACAACATCCTTCCTATAGAAGGAAGACCAGAACTGTACTCAAGTATTCCAAAAGTGGCCTCACCAATGTCCTGTACTGCACAACATGACATCCCAACTTCTATACTCAATGTTATGACCAAACATGTCAGAGTAAGGTATGCAGGTATCCCATGTACTTCTGGCCAGAGGCCTCCATGACTCCTGTACAAAGGAGTGTATTAAATGGTCATTTTGTGTATGATGCAACTAGTGACTGATCAGATAATTAAGTAACTGCTGTGTTCCTGATATT